AAAACCGTTCGAAAGATATTGGTTGGGAATCGTGCTGATTAGATTTTGGTAGAGATCGGCCCTGCCGTTTTCTTGTAATAAAATGTTAAAAAAAATTCTACGATTTTTATGATTTTTTTTAACGATAGATATCATGGTCTTTTAGGTTATACTAAAATATTACGGCCCTACGACAAGTCGTTTAATTTTAAAAATTCGTCAAAGTTTGAAAAAATTAGTTTCGTTTTTTGGCGTTTGTCAAAATTGGACCTTTCATCGACGTTTACTCAAAAACGCCTGAACCGATTTCAGAAATTTAAAAACCATTTGATGTGTCTCTATTAGGAGTATCGTCAGTTTTGTAAGACGGTCTGCCGAGCCGTTTCTTTGTAATTTGGAAAAAAGTGGTAAACTTGTCGTCCATATTTAAGCTCATACTACCGAATCGATTTTAAAAAATCAAAAACTGTTCGAAAGATATTAGTTGGGAATAATACTGATTAGTTTTAGATGAAAATTTACCGAGCCGTTACCTTGTAATTAACTGTTGAAAAAAAAAAAATTTAAGCCGATTTTTATGGAAAGTTTTTTTGGTAATATATATCATGGTCTTATAGAACTTACTGGAATATTACGGCCTTACGGCAAGTAGTTTCATTTTAAAAATTCATCAGAGTTTGAGAAAATGAGTACAAGTTTTTTTGACGTTTGTTAAAATTAACATTAGACGATTTACTTGGTATAACGATAGAATGTTTGTTCGTTTTCAAATCCGCTCGGAATACTTTTAAAAACTCGTAAATTAATTTATTTTTTAACTTCCCGTAGGGTAAGTTATTGTAATGGGCCGAAAATCGAAATTGAAAATTTTTACATTTCTCGACGTTTTGAAGGTTTCTGAACATTTTGGCATATCTCAGAAAAAATGGATGTGTGTGTATGTATGTATGTATGGATACAAATTTACAGTCACGTTTTAGGGCGCACGGATCAACCGATTTGAATGGTTCAAAAAACATTCGATTCATATTGATAGGGAAAAGAGCTGATTAGTTTTTGGCAAAGGCAGGTCTAGCCGTTTCGGAGATACGGAGCAAAGAGTGCAGAAAATAGAAATCGAATTTTTGAGAGAACGGAGTATCCGATTTGAATGATCTAAAAAACATTCAATTAGTAATGATTGGGAGAAGTGTTTATTAGTTTTTGGCGAAGGCAGGCCCAGCCATTTTGAAGATACGGAGCTAAATATGTAAAAAATGGCAGTTTTTGAGAGAACTAAGCGTCCGATTTAAATGATTCGAAGAACTTTCTGCTTGTCTTAACAAAATAATTGATTTTGGAAAAAAAAATTTGTTCCATTTTTTTTTTTTTAGTTTTTTGTATATCGAAAATATTTCAGATTTTATTTTTAATTCTGACTATAGTTCTAATATACTTTACAAATAATTTCAACTCTGCAATTCAGTTGATATAATTCTTATACATATAAGACAATATTACAATATTTATAATAATCTATTTGAAAACATTCAGTATTCCTCGAACATTTCGTTACGGTACGGGAAGTACCAGCAATTTGCCTTAAGGCACGATGCCATAATTGCCTTAAGACAGAATTCCACTTACAGCTAGTTATTGATTAAGTCGATATATCGGGAAGTTCATGTAACTTGCCTTAAGGCAAAATACCAATACCAACTAGTTTAATGTTTATTTTCAGGAACAACTGATCAAACTATGGACAATACAAGTTCTACTTATGCACAGCAGCCATATTATCAAAATATGAATATGGGTACTGTTCCATCAAACACACAAGTATATCAAGCTGATTTGTCGTCATATAATTCGATGAATTATGTAATGGATTATTCAAAATTTGGAACAGATCAATCAAATCAAGAAAAACCTGTTTTGTCCATGTCGGGATACAATTATCAGCAATATCTACCGAGTACATCGAATAAAACTAATACGATTGATGTATCGGCAAACATAATGAGCAATCAAAATTATAACAGTAATTTTGCAAATAAGTCTGTGCAGTATACGAATGCTTCAAATATACCGAATATTCCTCAAGAAATTCCGAATGCACAATATACTTATTCACAAGGGACGCAGAATTTAACTCAGCAAATCCAAACTTCATTACCTAACACTCAAAATTTGGCGCAAAATTATACTTCAATGGTGTCAAGTAATTCTTTGCCAAATAAAACACCTGAACAAAATTATGTATCAGCAGTAGGCAATGTTCAAAATTATGTTCAACCAGTTCAAAACCTGAACTATCAACAAGTTCCACAATCTTTTGCTAATAAACAAGATTATTCAGCAAATCAACAGATTATTAATAAGCTTGGTCAGCAAATCTCAAATTTAACCATCCAAAATCCACCGACAGTTAGTGGATACAACACCATGTACCAGCAAAATCAGGCAGTATCAGTACCATCAAATTTACCATTGAGTTCTTCGGCTAATGTTCAATATAATCAAGCAATGTCGTACTCCGGACATCCTGGTTATTCGTACGATCCGTCTACTGGTTTATATCAATACAGTTCTGGTTATCAAAATATGCAAATGTATGATAATCAGATGAGGAATTATACAGGAAATTATGGCGATCCGAGCCAAACGATTAATTCAAGTGGTAATTGGCAACAGAATTATCAGTATACTAATGCTGGTAATAATTTGGGAACCAGTAATACGTTGTCTTCTCAGGCTGGACACCTAGGTAAGTTTTTTTCTTATTTATTTATTAATTTTTTGTATGTGAAATTTATGTTTTTAATACACTATAGGCGTGCAGCGTTATAATCGGTTTATATATGAAATTAATAGAGTTTGCTTGTATTTTTTTGTTCAAATGATTTATACCTCAGTCAAATTAAGCTGATAAATAGATAAATAATTTCATTAAACTTATACTATTTAAACAGAAACCAATAAACTCTTATTTTTTACTTATATTACACATTTCATGACGTTTAAAATTATGAAGAATATGAGTTTTTCAACTTTTCAAACGGCAATATCTCAGAAACGGTAATTCTAACAAAAAAAATTAATAATAACAGTTTAATAGAAAATTTTATAATAAATAAACTTATCTAACATATTTTTTTAAAAAAAATTATGATTTCGGCGGAAAATGGGAAAATCTCGATTTTTGCACCTGACCTTGAATAAAAAAAATCGCAGATGTCGGATCGATGAGGACTTTTGACCATTTCATTTGTAATGGCCTATTTAACATCTGTACCAAATTTCAGCTCTATGCGAATTGTTCCTAACTGAAAACTTAATTTGACTGGGGTATTAGTCGTCTGTCGTTTATTTTAGTATACCTGTCCCCGTTTTACACGTTTTAGAAAAAAAACGTATATTTTGAAAAAAATATTTTTATATGGAAAAACCGTGCTAAACGAAAATTTCTATGAAAATGCCCTTTTTGTCAGTTTTTCATATGATGAATAACAAATACATTGAATGAAAAATAAATAATATATTTAATATCAAATATATAAGGTTGTCAAATATCTCCCTTCCGCCTTTTTGTATTATAAACCAAGAGCAAAAAAGCGGAAGGGAGATATTTGACAACCTAATATTTAATACATCATGAGAAAATTAATTTATTTCAATAATAAAACAAATATAAAAAAATATTATTAATATTGCATTTTCTTTATAGATAAAAAGTAAAATTAAAAAGTGAATGCAAAATTAATAAATTTCGTTAAAAAAAAATTATTTTCAAAAACCGGGGGATAGGTGTATTATAGTACTCTAGTATAAGCTAGATTGCATTTTATAAGTTAGGAAAAAATATTTTTAAATATCTATATAATAAATTTAAATATTTTATAGGAACGTTTTTTTAGTAATAGACGAGTATTTAACAATGTGTGAATTTTGGACATTTTATAACATTTTTTTGAACACGTCTGGTGTAACCTATTATTTACACTTGCATATTGAAATTTTGAATAATTCTTAGTTGAAATGCGGACTTTAGTATTTTATAGTTTGCAATATATGAATTTACGATATTTGTTAGTTTTTTTTTCAAATAACTTTTAATTTTATTCCGGACATTATAATATGTTTACATTAGCAAAAACTGGATAAAATGTACTAAAATCTAGTTGAGAATGTTTTATGCACTTGGGATATTTAAATTTTGAATAATTCGTAGTTGAAATGCGCACTTTAGTCAAAGTTAGCAATATATGGATTTAAGACATTTTATAGTTTTCTCCAAATACCTTTTGATTTTTATTTTGGATATTATTATTTCCTTACATTAGCAAAAACTAGATAAAATTTACTAAAATATGGTAAAAACTGTTATATACACTTGGATATTGAATAATTCGTAGTTGAAATGCGAACTTCAGTATTTCCATAACTTGCAATATATGATTTTGGGACATCTATCAATTTTCTTCAAATAACTTTAAATTTTCTTCTCGGACATTATAATTTGCTTACATTTGTAAAAACTAGATAAAATTTACTAAAATGTAGTAAAAACTGTAATATACACTTTGATATTGAAATATTGAATAATTCGTAGTTGAAATGCGGACTTTAATATTTTTATAGTTTACGATACATGGATTTGGTAAATTTTTTTTTACTTTTTTTTCAAAATAAATTTTAATTTGCATTCCGGACATTATAATATGCTTACGTTATTAAAAACCAGATAAAATTTACTAAAATTTAGTAAAAACTGTTTCATACACTTTGATATTGAAATTACGATAAATTTGTAGTTGAAATGCGGACTTTAGTGCAGTAATATAATAGTTAATTATATATTAATACTAATTAATACATTTAACGTTTTACTCTATACTTTACCTATACATTAACTCTATTACTCCTATAGTTTACTTTATTGCTTTGAAAAAATTCAAAGTTTCCGCTTTTTATATATAAAAAAATTATATTTTTAGAAAAAGTCCTACTTTTTTCAAAAAAAATCTTTTTTTTTTTCAAAAAATTTTACATTTCTCAAATTAAGAATTTAAGGGGCACAACTAGTTCAGAAACCTTTGAAACGTAAAGAAATGCAAAAATTTTCAATTTCGATTTGGACGATTACAATAACTTACCCTAAGGGAAGTTAAAAATTTGATTACCATATTTTACTTCCAAGCATAAACATGTATTACGTACGTATTAAACTAAAAACTAAATAAAATTTAATCAAATCTCCGTGACTATTAAAAAAAATATGAAATTTATATTATAAAATTTAGAATTTTTGAATATTGACTCAAAAATTGCACATACTAAGTATTTTATTTTTTGCCTAAAAAATGGTGATTTTTGGGAATTTATATAAAAAACTGCTTTATCAATCATTTCAAAATTTAGGAATATATTTATACATGTTTTAAGAATACATAGTAAAATTTTTGAAGAAAAAAATTAAATATTTTTTAAGTTATCGTCGATCTCCAACGGCGCGACAAAAAAAAGGCCCTTCACTGCTGCAGTGATTCCGGCCTTCTACGTGGATGAAATTAAAAAAAAAAATCTCGTTAAACTAGATTAATATTGTATGTAAAATGAATTACGATAAAGGAAAAAAATAAAAAATTGACAAAATGACGGCATTTTTTTAAAAAAAAGTCGAATTTTACCCAAAATTTTGGTCGTTTTTGGACTGCCAAAATTCGATTTTTGATCCGATCAAAAAGTCGATAGTTCATTTTACGTAGAACTATATATAGAACATGTAAAAAAAATTCGATAGTGATCGGATCATTTGTTTTTGAGTAATCGCTGCAGCAAATTCGGAAAATGCTGTTTCGAGAAAAACGCGTTTAAAGATTAAATGATCGTTATACTATACACTATATATATACTCTTTAAATGGATGTAACTCAAAAACTATTTAAGATATCGGTTTAAAATTTTGGTACGTTATTTTTAAAGGTAAAACCTAACGAAATATGGAAAAATTGAAAATTCGTTTTTTTGAAAATTTCACACTAGTTGTGCCCCTTAATATTTGGTACGAGAAGTTCCAGCAACTTGCCATACACCACTAGTTAACTTTCCGAATGAGAAGTTTATGTTTTTAATATGTGTTTATAATATATATTTATTTATTTTAGGTCAAAGTTTTGCACAGCAGTATGCTTCTAATGCTTCGCAAATTAGTGCTGATCAGTATTATTTACAAATGTATGGAGCTGCAGGAGGCAGCATGGACGGCTCAAACATTGCTGCTCCATCAGCTGTTTATCCGCTCACCCCTCAAAGTCCAATGACTTATATGAACTCTGGTGCTAGTATAACGAATACAACTTTCAGCCAAGGTAAAATTAATAGTAACCGAATTTGAAGAAATAATTTTGAGTAACTCCTTTTATTTGCAGATTCTGCAAATTCAAATCCAACAACGTCTCAGAAACATTCCGCAGGAGTCCAAAGTAACGTGGATTTATTAGCTGGCTTAGATTTTTCTTCCTCCGTACCGATATTAACCCCTGAACAAAATTCGGTTTTAAACAAGAAATCTGAAAATGATCCAAAAAACTTGAGTAGTGCTGACACCAAACAAATATCTGGTGTCAGCACTAATAAAAATTCCAATGTTAGGGAAGAAGAAAAAAATATTGCTGAGAAAAAAGCCGCCGAGAAGACAGAGGATATTAAAATAGAGCCGAAAAATATTAAGACTGAGAAACAGAATAAATTATTGGATCTGCAACAAACTCCGAGCAAGGAAAATTTAGTTATGTTTTTACATGAGGTCGAGAGACAAGAGAAGTATTTAGAAGGCATCAGCACGAAAACTTTAAATGGGCCGACACCTTTGGAAACTAAATGGAAGGAACTTCAAGATTTATTGGTAAACATAATGTTCAAGTTGCAACATTTTTCAACATTACATTTCATTATCTAATATATTTAATATATTTATCTCTTTGCTAGATAATTTCTAATATGAATTATTAACTTCCCGAAGGAGAAGTTTATGTTTTCATCAAAAAATCCGATTCTCTAATTTTATGTTTTCTCGACGTTTCAAACCATTCTGAATCGAATGAGACCAAATTTGGAAAAAGTATGTGTGTGTATGTTTTTGTGTGCGTGTATGTGAACAGATTTTTTGCCGTAAATCGACGTTTTCTCGAAAACGGCTGGGCCGATTTCAAAAATTTAAAAGCCATTCGATGTATCTCGACGAGAACTATTGTTTGTCAGTTTTGTGCGACGATCGGCCGAGACGTTTCTTTATAAATCGCAGAAAAGTGAAAAATTTTTCGTCTACGTTTTAGCCCGCAATTCTGAATGGATTTTGAAAATTCAAAAACCGTTCGAAAGATATTGGTTGGGAATCGTGCTGATTAGTTTTTAGTAAAGATCGGCCGGGCCGTTTTCTTGTAATAAAGTGTTAAAAAAAATTTTTCGACGATTTTTATGATTATTTTTTTGACGGTAGATACCATAGTCTTCTAGATCATACTAAAATATTACGGCCCTACGACAACTCGTTTAACTGTAAAAATTCGTCAAAGTTTGCAAAAATTGGTTTCGTTTTTTTGGCATTTGTCAAAATTAGACCTTTCATCGACGTTTTCTCAAAAACGCCTGAACCGATTTCAGAAATTTAAAAGCCATTTGATGTATTTCGATGAGGACTATCTTTTGTCAGTTTTGTGCGACGATCTGCCAAGCCGTTTCTTTGTAATTTGAAAAAAAGTGTTAAACTTTTCGTCCACATTTAAGCTCATTCTACCGAACCGATTTTAAAAAATCAAAAACTGATTAGTTTTAGATGAAAATCTACCGAGCCGTTTTCTTGTAATTAACTGTTGAAAAAAAAATTTAGGCCGATTTTTAGGGAACTTTTTTTGGCTATATATACCATGGTCTTGTAGAACTTACTGAATTATAACGGCTCTACGACAAGTAGTTTAATTTTAAAAATTCATCAAAGTTTGAGAAAATGAGTAAATATTGATTTTTGAAAATTTGCTTTTGGAAAATACTCCGATTAACGTGTTTGTTCGTTTTCAATTATTTTTAATAAATCCACTCGGAATACTTCTAATCACTCATAAATTAATTTGTTTTTCATTGATTAAGTCGATTATTTACACATATCGGGAAGTTAATGTAACTTGCCTCAAGGCTAAATACCAAACCAACTAGTTTAATATATTTATCTCTTTGCTAGATAATTTCTAATATGAATTATTTATTTTAGGCTTTAGATGTGTCTTCAAGAAGTATATCAGTAGCAAGGTGCTATCCAGCAAAAAATCGTTGCCCTGATCACTTGCCTTATGATCAAACGAGAGTGCAGCTGCCGGATCCTAACAATGATTATATTAATGCTTCTTATGTAAAGGTCAGTAGATTTATTATTCTTATATTATATATAAAAGAGAATTTTATATTATACTAGCTAACCCGGCAAACGTTGTTTTGCCATAAAAAATATGCCTAAATTGATAAAAAATTAATAAAAGTGCCAAAAATCTGGGACTCTGATTTGGACTCTGATTCTTTGACAAATAGTTAAAAACTTGTTATAATTTTCAAAATTATTTGACATTTTATACTTCAAAAATTGATTCACTCGCATCATAGTTTTTTGTTTATTATACTTTTGTCATGTCATATATGTCAATAAAATTTTCTTTCAAATATTATTCATTTGTTAATAAATTAATAATTATTTTAAGTCATCAATGAATAATTATATAATTGTCAAATTCATAAGTTTGGCTAAATCGACACAGGAAAGATCTGATTTTTGACATTTGCATTTTATTTCAAATTAATTATAACTGCCAAAATATTTTCTTTTGGATCGAAATTTAATATAATATGATATAATATTTAGTTTGTCTAGTTTGTTTTTGTCAGATTCTAATGATACCCTCAGATTGTACTATTCATTTAAGAGGTTACAATTTCCTGTGAGATTAGCATTTGCGATGACAATCAAAATATATCTTAACTGATATATTAATAATATTATTATATTTTAATGAAACACATTTCTTTACACTCCGGTAAAAAATTCCAACGCATCATAGTGTTTTGTTTATTTTAATTGTGTTTATGTCAATTTTTTTTAATTAAAGAATAAATTAATTTTTAGTCTAAATCAACGCAGTATCTTTATCTAAATATACAATTTTTTATATAATTATTTGATTTTTTACATTTGCATTTAATTGAAAAATAGTGAATGTCAATTTCATATATCCAATATGCAGTAAATTTATAAATGTCAAAATATTTCCTTCTTGGTCCAAAATTAATATAATATGATAATATTAATTTTACAATAATGTTTTGTATCTATAATTTGCTTGGCAATATTGCCTATAACATAACTTGGAATAATTAATTTATTTGCTTTTTATTGAAGTAAGTCGTTAAACATTTTTTAGTGAAATGTCAAAATTTTGTTTATGATTAATTTTAAATTCAATATGTCGCTTTTTTATTGTGATCTCTGATCTATAAGGTTTTGATGAAGTTTTGGTTTCCGAAATAATTTGGTAAGCTAATCAATTAAATCTAAATCGTAAATCTATTTATATAATTATTTTCATAAATACTGACAAATGACATTTAATTTCTATTTAATTCTATCTTCGATTTAAAACTATAAACAGTGACTTTGAATATAGCATTTCATCTAATTCGGATTTAAATGTATATTTCTATAAATGTACATGTTTTTGAATTTTATTTTTTGAAATGTCAAATTTTTTTTTCAAAAATTATGTATCCTAATTTCCTTAAATTTTGATATTTGTCATTTTAATGTTTTGTTTTTTTTTTGGCCATTTTTTGTCAAAATTTTTAGAAATTTATAAAAATTATATATTTATATTTCAAATTTACTCTTCAAAATTTCCTATAACCTGAGTTGGATATATATGCACACGATGAGCCAATAAAATTTAAAATCGGTTCAGTAGTTTGGGCGTCCATCGCGAACCAACATCGTGACACGAGATTTATATATATATATATATATATATATATATATATATATATATATTATATATAATTCATATATATAGTATGATCATTATAAAAATATTTGTACAATTCCAGAACATGTCACCAGTATGTCCAGATTTCATTGTAACTCAGGCACCAATGTCCAATACATTGGCCGATTTTTGGTCAATGGTGTGGAATGAAAATATCGAGACAATCGCCTGTTTGTTAAATTCGAACGAAGTGAGTAACTGAATTTATAATAGTGGCATATAGTACTCTAGAAAACAATAGTTACAAGCTATTTAACTAATGATTTTCTCTTTAGCTCGATGTGGTGTATTTTCCAACACAAAAAGATTCCTCGGAAATATTCGGAGATTATAAGATAACTTTGCAAACAATATCCGAGAACGAAGTCTGCATTGAGCGTGTGATGTCCATTAAGGGACACAGAGATAAACCGCCAAGAGATTTTTTGCATCTTCAAATCAAATCAACGCCTTCAAGGTAATTTTACTAAATTCAAATTATGCATTTAATAAAAAATTCCATCAAACCGTGATATTGTTTTTCAGTTGTGAGCCGATATGTGGATTCGCAGACAAAATAGTATCTTGTTATCAGAAACAACATTCGATAAGTCATCCTGTTCTTCTTCACTGTTTAAATGGGAACAATGTGTGCGGAATGTTTGCGTATACAATTTGTTCCATTGCAAATTCAAAAATGTCAGCACCCTGTCTTTTAGGTAAATACGAAATTTTTATAGACTTGCAAATATTTAAATTAAGGGGCACAACTAGTGTGAAATTTTCAAAAAATCGAATTTTCAATTTTTTCATATTTCGATAGGTTATACCTTTAAAAATAATATACCAAAATTTTAAATCGATATCTTAAATAGTTTTTGAGTCACAGCCATTTAAAGAGTATATATATAATATATAGTGTAACGATCATTTCATTTTTAAACGCGTTTTTCTCGAAACAGCATTTTCCGAATTTGCTGCAGCGATTACTCAAAAACAAATGATCCAACCACTGTTTTTTTTTACATGTTTTATATATAGTTCTCCGTAAAATGAACTATCGATTTTTTTATCGGATCAAAAATCGAATTTTGGCAGGCCGAACGACCGAAATTTTGGGTAAAATTCGACTTTTTTTTAAAAAAAACGCCGTCATTTTGTCAATTTTTGATTTTTTTTCTTTATCGTAGTTCATTTTACAGACAATTATCTAGTTTAACGAGATTTTTTTTTAAATTTCATACACTTAGAAGGCCGGAATCACTGCAGCAGTGAAGGGCCTTTTTTTGTCGCGCCGTTGGAGATCGACGATAACTTAAAAAATATTTAATTTTTTTCTTCAAAAATTTTACAATGTATTCTTAAAACATGTATAAATATATTCCTAAAATTTTGAAATGATTGATGAAGTATTTTTTTTTAATATAAATTCCCAAAAATCACCTTTTTTTGGACGATTACACTAGTTGTGCTCCCCCTTGTCATTTCAAGTGTATAAGAGGTATGCTTATATTATTTTATGCAATATTTGCAGTACTTTTGATTTTTTTGAAAATTTTCAACTTTTCCGAAAATTGGGAGATTTTTAACAAAATACGACCTAAGTAAGTTTGAAATTTTTTGAAACTTTGGCAAAAAAATCGACTTTTTTAAAAGTTGACAAAACTCGATTTTTTCGGAAATTTTTGAAAGAAATAGTTTTTCTTTGTTTTTAATTAAATTGTTTAAATATTTTAACTTTTTGAGAAATTTGATTTTGAAAGTTGATAAATCTCGCTTTTTGAAATTTTTTGAATTTTTTTGAGAAATTTGAATTTATTTGAAGAAAAGATTTTTTTTGTAAATCTTGAATCTTTCTGATTGTGAGACTTTCGAAAAAAATCAATCTGTTTCGAAGATTTTGTTGGTTATGATGTTTCGAAAACCTGACTGATTTGTTAAATAAATTTTGAATTTTTTGAAAAAATTATATTTTTTAAACATTTAAACTTTTTGAGAAATTTGAATTTATTTCAAAATTTAGATTATAATACTTATTTAATTAGAAACTTGAAACAAATCGATACTTTTGAAAGTTTAGAATTTTTTTTAACATTAAGATTGAAAAAGGGCGTTTTTTTCTTGAAAATTTTGAAAAAAAAACACTTTTTGAGGATTCTGATTTATTTTAAACTATTGAAAAGAAATCGTCTTTTTGATACTTGAAAAAACTTGATAATTTGAAATAATTTCGAAAGTTTAAACATTTTTGAATTCGATTGACAGAAGTCGTTTTTTTTTAGAAAAGTCTTTTTAAGAAGTTTGATATTTTTTAAAGTTTTGAATTATTGGGAAAATTTTAATTTTTTTTATTAGGAAAATTTGAATTTTTCCCTAATTTTGATTTTTTTTTTATTAGAAAAATTTGAACTATATAGAAACTTTTGATAAAAAGATTTTTTTTTAAATTTGTTTTTTTAATGTGTTGAAAATCTTACTGATTTGTTGGAGATTATCGAAGTTTTTGAAAACTCGACATTTTTTTTAAAAATGTGGAAACAATAGATCTTGTGGAAACTTTTGAATGAACTCGACTTTTGAGAAATCTTCTAAAAATACCGATTTTTTTTAAACCTTTTTTTTTTTGAAAATTATATTCCTTTTGAAATTTGATAAAAATCGACTTTTTAGAACATTTTAAAATTTTTGCAAACTTAACTTTTTGAAAATAATAATTTTTTGTAACTTGAAAAAATCGACTTTTTGAAAACTCGCCTTTTTATGAAAATTTGAAAAAATAGACTTTTTGGAAATTTTTGAAATTCGACTTTTGATATTTTTTAAAAATTTTGATTTTTTTGAAACCCTTGCAAATATGTTTTTTTTTAGAATTATATTCCTTTTGAAATTTTGATAAAAAAACAACATTTTAGAACACTTTCAAATTTTTGCAAAATTTTGATTTTTGAAAATATTGATTTATTGTTTTTGTAACTTGAAAAAATGGACTTTTTGGTAGTTTTTTTTTTTAAATTAAATGTCAGAACATTTCACTTGAATCTTTTTGAGACTTTTGAAAAAAAAACAATCTGTTTTGGAGATTTTGTTGGTTTTGATGTTTCGAAAACCTGACTGATTTGTTAGATAATTCTGAATTTTTTTCCCCAAAAAATCATAGTCCATGGTTTTTTTTTGACAATTTTTTTCCCCAAAATTTTTTTCCCAAAAATATTTATTCCAAAAAATCAAAGATTAGTTTTTCCCCCGAAATTTTTTGTCTCAATTTTTTTGTCCAAAATTTTTATCACGAAATTTTTTGTCCAAATTTTTTTTTGTCCAAAAATTTTTGACCCAAAATTTTTTTTGTCCAAATTGAGTCACTTAATTATTGTTCACTTATAAGTGAACATTATAAGTTTTCAAAGAAATGGAAATAAAATTTATACACATTATTAAAATATTTGATTTGAAATATCGAATATTTATTTTTCGGCAGATTTTTGTACTTTTTTTTTATTAGATCTTCGAAACCGCTAGACCCGCCTTACCAAAAAATTGTATCAATTATTTATTCCGTTATTGAATCATTCAAAGAGAAAAAAATATTATGCATTTTAAAATTAAAAGACTTCACCTTTTACGATTGATCATTTTTCAATTGATGTATTTTACAGATTCGTCGAATATTTGTCATTTGCTTTGCTCTCAAAGAAAAGGAATGATTCGAGATCGACATTATTTGTTGCTAGCGATGGAAGCAGAAGTTCATAACGCCAGAGCATTATTAAATAAACGTAAGTTTTTATAAATTCATCGCGTAATTATGTAATAATATCAATCATTCTTATAATTCATTTTCTCTTAGATAATCTAATGACTTCCTATCAAATTCAGAATAAATCTAAGAATACCATTCCACCTCCGCAAGAAGTCTTAGTTAAAGACCCACTTGCTGATTTAGATCCGCTGTGGAAAATCAGAAAGACGTAAAGTAATATATTGTTTATTATTCTATTAAAAATTGATATTTTATAACATTTTTTATAATTAATTATACTTATTATATATTAGTTTTACTACGCTATATATTAAACCATAGTCATGCATTGGAACAAGATATTAGGAAAAATATTTTTATTTTAGTATAATAATTATATTACAAAATTTATAATCGAAATTTGTAAATGATATGAATGAATATATAAAAAATGATTGTTAATAAGTTATTTGTGTCAAAATTGATTTTATAGATAAATTTTGTCTGGGATTTTAAATTAATTATTTATTAGCCATTTCGAAGATTCGAAGGTAAATATGTAAAAATTGGCAGTTTTTGAGAGAACTAAGCGTCCGATTTTAATGATTATGTAACTTTCTGCTTGTCTTGTCAAAATAATTGATATTGGAAAAAAAATCCCAAAAATTTTTTTGACCAAGAATTTTTTGACCAAAAATTTTTTTCCAAATTATTTTAGACCAAATTCTTTTGACAAAAATTTTTTTTGTTTAAAAATTTTTTTGACCAAAAGTTTTTTTGGTCAACCAAAAATTTTTTTCCAAATTTTTTTTTTACCAAAATTTTTTTGACCAAAAATTTTTTGGACCAAAATTTTTTTGACTAAAAATTTTTTTCCAAAAATTTTTTTGACCAAAAATTTTTTTTTTCCAAAAATTTTTTTCACAAATTTTTTTGGCCAAAGATCTTTTTAACCAAAATTTTTTTCTCAAAATTTTTATGACCAAAATTTTTTTCTCAAAATTTTTTTGGCAAAGATCTTTTTGACCAAATTTTTTTTCTCAAAATTTTTTTTGACCAAAATTTTTTTGACCAAAATTTGTTTGACCAAGAATTTTTTTCCAAAAATTTTTTGATCAAAGTTTTTGGACCAAAATTTTTTTTACACCCAAATTTGTTTGACCAAAAAGCTTTTTGTCCTAAAATTTTTCTTGACCAAAAATTTTTTTGGAGCAAAATTTTTTTCCCAAAATTTTTTTGGCCAAAGATCTTTTTGACCAAAATTTTTTTTCTCAAATTTTTTTGGACCAAAATTTCTTTGAAAAATTCCGTTCGTCCGACTTCCGATAATCCGGACCTCCGATTATACGGACTTTGGATTATCCGGACTTTGGATCATTCGGACTTTGGATTATCCGGACTTCGCATTATCAGGACTTCCGATTTTTCGGACCTTCGATTAACAGACTTTCAATTATCCGGACTTCCGGTTATCCGGACTTCCGACCAAAATTTTTTGATCAAAAATTTTTTTTTCCGAAAATTTTTTTTGACTAAAAATTTTTTTTCCAAACATTTTTTTGACCAAAATTTTTTTGATCAAAAATTTTTTTGACCAAAATCTTTTTGACCAAGAATTTTTTCCCAAATTTTTTTTGACCGAATTTTTTTGGCTAAGAATTTTTTACCAAAATTTTTTTGACCAAAATTTTTTGACCAAAATTTTTTTTGACTAAAATTTTTTTGACCAAAAATTTTATTGACCAAAAATTTTTTGACCGAAATTTTTTTGGCTAAGAATTTTTTACCAAAAATTTTTTTGACCAAAATTTTTTTGACCAAAATTTTTTTGACCAAAAATTTTATTGACCAAAAATTTTATTGACCAAAATTTTTTTTCCAAAATTTTTTTGACCAAAATTTTTTTGACCGAAATTTTTTTGGCCGAAATTTTTTTGGCTAAGAATTTTTTACCAAAATTTTTTTGACCAAAATTTTTTTGACTAAAATTTTTTGACCAAAATTTTATTGATCAAAATTTTTTTCCAAAATTTTTTTGGACCAAGATTTTTTTGACCAAAATTTTTTTCCCAAAGTTTTTTTGACCAAGAATTTTTTTGACCAAAATTTCCGACATTTTGATACTCCGATACTCCGACACTTCGATATTCCGACATTTCGATACTCCGATACTCCGACATTCCGACACTCCGACCAAATTTTTATTCCCCAAATTTTTT